AGAGATGCAGCAAAACTTTTAGAGGGACATGGTCTGTGCTTCTTCTGGCCTCCAGCTGGTGCTTGCTCTGCTCTCTTGCATCTCTTTGTACTTCATGCTCCCTGGGTTAGGGACATACCTTGAACTGTCAATGTTTGGATTTACTTCTGGCAGGGGGTGTGGAAAAAGTAGTATTGAAGGCTGCCTCTAGCCTCTGAGTGAGCTGTTGTTTGACACTTGGACAGTCTCAAGTCATAAAGAATAATGTGTGCAGTGCAGAAATAACGGCTGGTAATTTTAGATGCAGACTAACATCATATGTTGGTGTCAAATTAAATAATAGGCCGTGCGGACTTCCTTCTGGGCTTTGTCTGATCTCAGCGCTTGTCAGAGCTGCTTTCCTAGACCTGGTTTATGAAGCACTCCTTTCATAGTGTCACTCTGGGGAGGATGGAGGTCACAAAACAAGCAGAAGCTCTCGGATCCCTTAATGTGTGTGGGGAAAACCAGAGCTGGCTTCAGTCCTGGTCCTGGGCAACCTGTCCTCCCCATGTGATGCACTTGTTGGCAGAGATATGTGTGTGTGTGGGCCCTCATGGTGTTGAGGGGTGGGGGTGTCTGTTGCTATGACAACTGATTTTTTTAAAATATAGAATTAGATTTTTTTGTTTGTTTCTTTCAGTTTAGGAAAACTGAAACAATTAGTATAGAGAAAGGATATCGACTTTGCTCTGGTTTTCCAAGGGAAAGCCCAGGCAGGATGCAAAGACAGCAGCACAGACACAGTTGTGTGTGAGGGGCAGTTGGCTGGTGACCCCTTGAGCTTGTATCCCAAACTGTTTATAAATCTTTCCTTAGTGCAACTGTATGCTTAGCAAATCAAAACCCAATGTACAAACTAACCCAAATTATTCACCTAGCTTTTGGCTGCTACACTTTCAAGTCTGACTAAGGCAGGATGCAGACCTGAATTCATACAGGGGGCTGAGGTTTACGACTTGCAGATCTAGTTTGCTTTTCAGCTGATGGGATTATCTAGATTTTTATTTTTTTTTAAAGGGGAATGTCAAAAAGCTGAGTCAGCCCAATCACAGCTATTAAAATGCTAAAATTTCTTCCTCCTTAAGGATTGCTTACCCTGCTCTATGCAGTCAGATGAATATGAGTTGTTTGTTCTGGCAGAGGGACAGACAGTCTGTTTTCCCTTACATGTATACAACTAATTTCAAGTCACCAGTGTTCTAGCTGGTGATAAAAGAGCTATCTTAAGCTTTTCACAGAACACAGTGACACTGTTAAATCAGCACAGCATTTTGATTAGCAGAAAGATGAGAGCTATACAGCTTAATGATAAAAAGGGGTAAAATCCCTTCTGTACCTAAAACTCCAGTTTCAAAGTAAATAGGTGGCCATATTTTTCTGCAAGTTACAGATTTTCACCTTGCTACTGATTCAAGGCTATTCAGTGTCAGCAACAGCCTGCACCAAAGAAGTAAAGAAGGAAAATTGCTTTCATGCCTTATTGCTCATCTGGTTAGACCACCTCCTGCAGGTGCCTAACAGGCAGCTGTGGGGTCGCAGCCTGTGGGCTTGGTGACTTGAAGGATCAACAGGCTGTGATGCCTCTTCATTCAGTAGATTTGAGGGTCACCCTTGGGTGCATGTTCCCTTTCTAGTGCTCTTGTCCTTGAAAGCAGGGGCCAGGGGTTTGGCTGCTCTGACCTTAGAGACAGTGCAGACCTCTGAGGTTCTTCTGTGGCTTATGCATCCCCTTGCTCATCCATGTCCCTTATCTCATCCTTCCCTAAGGCAGCAGTCCTTATATTGCTGGGAAGGTTGAGTTCTCCTCGACCTTCTCCATGAGGATTTTCTCATTTTTGTGACAGAAATGAGCCCAAGACCCTTTCCTGAACTTTCCATTCTGGTTATTAAGTGATCAGCTGTGGCTGCGTGTCCTTTGGCACGGTGCTTCCAGTAGCTGCTATTGGAGGCTCATCCTAAGCCTAAAATGCCTTCCAATGCCTAAAACTTCCTAATAACTTCCAGACTAAATTTATAGAAATTTATGCCCATTTATTCAAAGGCCAAGATGGTCTTTCAACTGAAATAGGTTTTCTTCCTTCTGAGGTTTAAATCTTCACTGTGTTTGTCAAGAGCAGTCTCCTAACATCAGAGATACCAATAGAGGAGAAATATATTTACTAGCTGACATCTGAGTGAAAGTGTTTGCAGCACTTTGGAATTCATCATTTGCAGATGCTGTGACCCCACAGTGGTCTTTCTAGGATTGCTTTACAATTCCAAACGGCCTTAGGCTGCACTCTACATGGTGGCATCCTATCACAGTGCTATCCTGGAGGAATCACTATGCAACTGACAACGTTCAGATGTGATGCAGATAGGGGCATGTCAGACTCCTTAGATTAATTCAGACATCCTTGCATTTAGTCTGCTTCATATGCTTATTCTCCTGATACTGGGCTGTACTAGTGAAAATTGCACACACAGGAACTTGAGAGGCACTTAAATTACAGTTGACTCCACTCTAACCTATGACTTTCTCTGAACTCTGGTCTAGTACCTCCTGAGAGACAAAATCTCAGGGGATCCCAGCTTGATAGGTAGGCTGAATTAAATTAAATGTGATAATCCATGCTGCTTGTGCCAAGCAGTACTGCTCACAACCAGCCCCTTCTGTTCACATACCCGTGCAGTGTTCTGGGTGTATTTAATGGATTATGGAATATCTTAAAAAGCGAATGAGGGGGAGTGGGGAGGCAAGGGGTACTTAAAAGCCGGCAAAGAAATACAGTGACCTCATTCCTGTGCAAAAAGCAAGCAGAAATAAATGACAGTTTATGCTAAGAAAAACCAAGTTTGTATATCCAGAAAGTGCAGCCACATGTCTGTATGCCACAGTCTGTCTGTAACGAGGAGAGTACATTCTGCACCATTAGTGGGGTTCGACTAAGACCAATGACTCCAGTGAGATGACAGCAGTGCTAAGCTTAGTTTAACACAATCTGCAGAAGCAGCTCTGCACAGTTGCTATAACACTATGTTAAACTAGGC